GATCAGAATATGCAAACTCTATTAAACACAACATCATGGAAACCCTAAGTGTCATAGTTGTGAACATAATTGTGAACATGTAAGCCCTGATACCATTGTTAGGCTATGCAAATCCTTTAAGAAACAAAGGGATAGTGGAAACAACATAAAATTCATAACTCATAAGGAACCTTTGTTTACTAGGCAACTAGTACATAAACGAAAACAAGAGATATAGAAATACATAAACTTGCGTTCTTTAATTTCTTTGATTTCGCTGATTGATCGAACCTGGAAGATCCAACGTAGAATGCCTCTTTTGTGATCGCGCCCAATAATCAAATAGAAAACTAGAAACACACAAACATGAAGCATACCACAAATAAGAATGCTACAAAACTAGATCGCGGTTACGAGGTGCGGGAACTCCTCTACTACGACGCGGTAAACGACTTCTAGGTTTTTTCAAGACTTCGGGAGCACCTTTGGATTTCTTAAGGTATTGACTGATTTTTTTAGCATCTGATTATATTTTTAGGCATCTCTATTTATAGGGAGAAGGATTCAAACCCTATCTTATAAATATTAGGGCTCAGAATAATTATCTATAACTTTGGCAACTATCTGAAATATAAATCCTTTATCTGGAACATTCAAGTATTTCCATAATTCACTTAAATAATTACACAATTAATTAATTAAGAAACCACTCCATATAGTTTATTCTTTTTTCAATTTTGTTCATATTTGTTCTTGCGTGTAACCCAAAATGACACTGCTGATTATAGTAATATTACCGACTTGTGTTCAAGAAACGCCCCAAAGTAAAGTCCAGAAAGAGAATAATAAGTTGACTTGTCCAATATTACTAAAGAAAAAATAAGTAAAGGTTTACCACACAAAACACCATGAAAATCGAAGGTGTAATTGGAAACCCGAAAGTGGTAGTATAAACCAATTGTGGGGACCATAACTTTATTTCTTACGCCTTATCAAAAGCTATAGTGTATCATTGGGAGCTGATAGTAATCATTTTATATAAGAGTAAACTATAAATACAGTATTTATGGTTTGCAATTTCTTTTAGAAGGAACCTTAAACATTTTAACAAGATTTTTTTAAGAGTAAATTACACGTATGGCCCTTATGGTTCGGGGTAATTTGAATGCTTAGTCCTTTTTTTTTAACTCAAGCGGTCCCTAAAAGCATCTTTATTGCGCGTTTGATCATTGTCTAACTAAAAAGAGTATATTTTCTTTAATACTTTTTACAATTAATAATTATTTATTTATTGAAAATATATTTAATAACTAATGTGGGTCCTATCCCTTACCTTCACATTTACTCACCATGCTTACCTACGCCTCTTTTCCCACTTTCCTCTTTTTCACACTCATTAGAAGTGAAATCACGAATCTGGAGAGATCAAATCCACCGACTCCTTCACATTCAATCGTCGGAGTCCCCCAAAAGTCCACCACATCTCCTCCATCTGCTCCTCTTCCTGATGAAACAACCTTAGCCGAGACCATCATCGTTGTTTTTTTACCAACACCAAACAAGAATGGTGGGTTCAACTAGATGACAATGGTGGCGAGTTTTACCTGATTCCCTACATAACTTCACCAGTACATGATCATTTTTTTTTCTAGATTCAAGTTGCAGAAATGATGGTGAGGGTGGGTTTTACTGGAAAAAAAACATAACTTTTCTTTTATGGATTCAACTTGACTAAAAGCATGTCCTTCCCTCCTTCTTTCCTAAAAAATTCTGCCTGGAAACAGATATAGTTGGACTAATTTGATGAGAATAAAGATTTAGGGCTCAAGATTTTGGCTAAAGAATCTTACAGTCGGGTTTTCATTGTTTTCCTTTAATGATTGTTATTGAAAACAGCTACCCGAAGAAGATTACCATCGCCAAAAAACAAAACGGTCATCAGAGAAGATTATCACCGCCGGACAGAACGGACATAGAGATGACCGACAACCACTAAACAGACGCTTCATAGTTTCATAAGGAATGAGTGGGAAGCCCTTCCCGAAGAAGATTACCATCGCCAGAAGGGAAGCTTCCCTCACTTTTTGTAGGCCATACCCCCTTTCCCTCACTTTTCTTTCCCTCACCTAAAACCCAAGGAATGGGTGGGAAGCCCTTCCCTCACTTTTTTTATTAAATAAAATTAATTTTTTTATGATTTATAATTTTTAAATTAATACTAAACATAAAATTTAATTAAAAATAAAAAGCAATTCATTAATTAAAATAAAAATTACATTAAACCTAATATTTAAATAAGTAGAAAAATAAAAATAAAAACGCAAAAAAAAAAAAAAAATCAAACAACCCACAACATAAAAAACATAATTAATATCCTAATTTTATATAAACCAAAATACGTCACTCGGAATCATCATGTTCGTCATCGCCCTCATCGTCCTCGTCATCGCCTTGATCGTCTTCATCATTCTCCCCAGTGTCACTCTCGTCGTCGGAATCTTCACTCTCGACGAACATATCAGAATCCTCGTCCGATTCGTCAAACAAATCATCGTGAGGAAACTATAACGGGGGCTGAATATGAGCCATATAAATGTGCTCCACCAAATCAGCACGAAGGGCGTGATGAATGTCGCGGTTGTGTACTTCTCTTCTATTCACCCTATACTCTTGTGTACCAACAGCTACTCCTTCGACATTTGGCAAAACTTCATTTTCGTTGTACCGGCATATCGCTCTTCCTTCGTCTTCAAGAATCATATTATGCAATATGATACATGCATACATTACGTGCTATAACCTTTTCACCTCATATGACCTTGCCCCGACCGTTAGTACTTGCCAACGTCTCTTAAGTACACCAAATGTTCGCTCCACATCCTTCCTAGCTGACTCTTGCGCCTCTTTAAACTTTTTCCTTTTCTGGTCGTTAGGACATATAAACGATTTCACAAAAACAGACAAGGGAGGATATATACCGTCAGTAAGATAGTATCCACGCTTATATGCTACCCCATTTGCTTGAAAAGGTACATCGTGCGACTTTCCAAGGTAGATATCGTTGAATACCGGCGACTGGTCTAACACATTGATGTCATTGTTTGCACCAGCTGGACCAAAGAATGCACGCCATATCCAAAGATCATGTGATGCGATAGCCTCTAGAATGATCGTCAGCTCTTTGTGGTCGCCACTCATGTACTGACCACGCCATGCGTTGGGGCATAATGACCAACTTCAATGCATGCAATCAATACTACCTAGCATTCCAGGGAATCCATGCTTGCCTTCATGCACCGTGTACAATTGGTGGATATCGTTGATAGTTGGTTTAGGCAAATATCGTTGTCCATAAACTAAACAGATCGCTTTGCAGAACTTGTACACACACTCCCGCACGGTACGCTCTGACATCCTAAAATACTCGTCCCATTTGTCTGCGCCCATGCCGTATGCTAGATGACGAATTGCAGCCGTGTATTTTTTAACGGGAGAGAAACCTTTTACCCGCCTTGCATCCATTTTCCATTGGAAATATGGAAAGCGGCCTTCCAAGTCGCCAACAATACGTAAGAATAGTTGTTTCCTCATCCGGAACCGACGCCGAAACTTTACAGCGTAGATGGTGTCATCTGCAAAATAATCTTCTATAAGGCGATTGTGTCCGGCTTCATGATTTCTACGCAACCGCGGCTTTGTTAGCTTAGATCGTGCACATGATGTTTCGCCCAGTCGGTTTTGATAGTATACAACCGTTTTCGCCATGACGGAACCAATAAACTTAGCCTCCTCTACGGCCGTCGAATCGGATGATGAAGATGATGACATTTTGAATAATATTTTTTGGAGAGAAGTATAAGGTATGAGTTAAAAAATGATTGGATGTTGTGGTATTTATAGTTTAAGAAAAGGAAAAAAAAAATATATATATTAACAGCTATATAGCCGTTGGAATCAAACGTTACAATAAAAAAAGAAAAACAAAATAACGGACCAATCATGTGAGGAGTGAGAACGCGGGATCCCCACCCCCACCCTCTTCCCGCGCTAGCCTACCCGCACGCACGGTGCGGTGTTCCCCATGTGCGGGAAACGTCCCGCACCTCTCCCCGCAGTCCATACCGTCCGGCCTAAGAGGGGTGGAGTATTAGGTGGGCCTACCTTATTTATTAAACATTTTTAATACATAAACCAGAGGGTGTGCCCTCGCGTTGCTATGGGTTGGAATTTTTTTTTTTATTGTTTTTCTTGGTTGTTTCAGATTTCACGGTTCGTGTTTGTTTATGGGATAGTTTTTTTAGAATATATATAAGGGACCAAAGTTGAAAAAATATAGAAACTATGGTGGTTAGATGTTGAAAAACGAAAATTAATATTAAAAAAGAGAGCAAAACTGTCAAGTTGTAGAAAATATTGTGGCTTATTCTAATTAATATTAGAGAATGGACCAAAATTGTCAAGTTGTAGAAAGTATTGTTGCCAAATTGTGTAACATTAAAGAATAAGGGACCAAAAGTGTTAACATCACAAACAATTGTGGCCAAAGTTTGAAGGGACAAACTTTTCGATTCCTAAGTCCTCCCACTTTTTAATGGAGTCAAAGGCGGTGCAATGGAGTCGGTGGCAAAATTGTAGAGCATGAAAACTTACCAGGGACTAAACTGTCGATTTAAGAAATTTATGTGGCAAAAATCTGAAATAGACAAAGTATACAATTGCTAATTTAGGCCACTTTTAATATTATTAATTAATATTAATAATAATATATTAATATATTAATAAGAAATAAAATATTAAAAACTTAAAAAGAAAAAAAAGGGCAATAACGTCTTTTTAGATCTAAACGAGCACAAAAATCCTTTTGTAAGGAGCATACAAATTAAAATAAATAAATAAATAAATAAATAAAAATTAAGAAACTAAGAACAACAGGGAGCATTCATGTAATTTATTCTTTAGTTATTTTAAACTTAAATATCAATACCCCCACCCCACACTCCGAGTCCTTGTCCACTCCAACCACTGTATTGAAATAAAACATCGACGCCTCCAGGATTCTCTCACTCTCCTCCGAAATGCATTCGTCTCCAGCAACGACGCCGACCTCCGGTGAGGAAGCTGATCTTCAGTGTATTGGTCGCTCTCTCATCTGGTTTCACTTCTTATCTCTGATGCATCTGCCCCTCTCACTCTTCTTTGATTTCTCTGTTCCTAGATCCACGGATTATAGAACCATAATGCGACAATGAGGTTTTAGGGGTTCTGCATAAAGGTAGAGGCAATTCTAAGATAAGCAACATCGATCGTGAGAAGCGCAAACACGCAAACAGTTGGTTAATGACTTTTTAAGGTTTTAGGGTTCCGATATTTGATTCTTTTTTAGTGTTAATACTTAATATCAGATTTTTTGTTCTGATGGGTGAAGGCAATGGAGGTGGAATGGCTCACTTTCCCTCCGGATTTCTGGGCTGAAAATGTTTTCCAATAAAGATTGAACCTCAACTCCAAAAGCATGGTCATTAACATGTGTCTTTTTCATTTTAGATGACGTGAGAGATGTTTATTGCAAATAATGACTTGGACAAACTCCGTTTAAATATAAATCTAAAAAAACCAAACTTTTGTTGGGAATGATGATCTGTGAAAACATTGATAAGTGTGGATTGAGCTTATCACAACTTCATATTTTTATGTTTTGTTATCTTTACATGTATATAAAAACAATTAATTAAACACTTAAAGATTCATCTTTTTGTAATCATTCAAACTTCATATGTTTTTGGATTTTTCTTGTTTCAACATAATAAATAATTTCTAAAAAGTTGACCATATGAAAAGCCATCTTTTTTTTTTTAATTTTTAATTTTTATTTTTATTACCATCATTTACATTTAGTATAAAATTATCAAAGCTTTAGGCAAAGCTAATATAAGTATACACCCATATACACTAAGTGAAATGAATTTAGGATGCATGTAGTTGTTTGATTATAGATTTCCATCGAATTCCCTTTGCTAAGTAGTTGGCTGCTATGTTATACTATGCAGGTGCTACTACCACAAGTGAGAATTGCCAGCAATGGAGGTTGCTAGTGAAATAATGAAAGGAGTTTTTCAGGTTCTCATGGTTCCAGTTAAAAAACAACTGGATTACCTGATTTCGTACAAACAATATGTAGGGAAGATGCACACCAAATTGAAGGATTTGGATGCTGCAAGAGTCGGTGTGGAATCCCAGAAGAAGCAAAACAGAGAAAGACGTCTTGAGGTTCCTGCCCAAGTCGACCCTTGGTTGATAGAAGTAGAAAAGATGAATAAAAAGGTAGCAGACTTTCCAAGTGAAGTCCTCGGTTGTCTCGATCTCAAGAGTAGACACAAGCTTGGAAGGAAAGCCTTCAAGATATTCAAGGAGATCGAGAGTGTTCTGGGACGATGCCCTGATATCCGAGGTACTGAACTACAAATTCCTGTGGGGAGAATTGATTCCATAATGGCATCCACCTCTACACCATCACGTGATCGAAATGAATTCCGCTCAAGAGAGAAGACTTTTACGGAAGCACTCGAAGCGCTTGGACCCAACCACAGTTCCCACATGGTAGCCTTATGTGGGATGGGTGGAGTGGGAAAGACGACAATGATGAAGAAGTTGAAAGAGGTTGTGGTTGAAAAGAAAATGTTTAATCATTATGTTGAGGCGGTGATAGGGGAAAAGATGGACCCCATTGCAATTCAGCAAGCTGTTGCAGAGTACCTTGGTATAATTCTAACCGAAACCACTAAACGAGCAAGAACTGAGCAGCTCCATAAATGGTTTGCAATCAATGCAGATGGAGGAAAGAAGAAGTTCCTGGTAATCCTGGACGATGTATGGCAGTCTGTTGATATGGAAGATATTGGTTTAAGCTGTTTGCCAAATCAAGGTGTCGACTTCAAGGTCTTGATTACATCACGGGACCAAGCAGTTTGCACTGAGATGGGAGTTAAAGTTGATTCGGTTCTCAAGGTGAGTGTCCTAGAGGAAGCGGAAGCACAAAGCTTGTTCCTCCAACTTTGGGAACCTTCTGATGATGTTGATCCTGACTTTCATAAGATCGGAGAAGAAATTGTAAGGAAGTGTTGCGGTCTACCCATTGCCATCAAAACCATGGCCTGTACTCTTAGAAGTAAAAACAAGGATACATGGAAGAATGCACTTTCTCGTTTACAGCACCATGATATTAATACAGTTGCACCTGCTGTTTTTAAAACAAGTTATGACAATCTTCGAGACGAGGTTGCCGAAGCTACTTTTTTGCTCTGCGGTTTGTTTCCAGAGGACTTCAATATTCGTACTGAGGACCTTCTGTGGTATGGATGGGGCTTAAAATTATTCAAGGGACTAGATACTATAAGAGAAGCAAGATACAAGCTGAACACATGCATTGAGCGGCTCATACATACCAATTTGTTGATCGAAAGTGATAAAGTTTGGCGCGTCAAGATGCATGATCTGGTGCGTGCTTTTGTTTTGGATATGTTTTCCAAAGTCGAGCATGCTTCCATTGTCAACCATGGTAGCAGTAAGCCAGGGTGGCCTGAAACTGAAAATGATGTGAGCGCCTCTTGCAAAAGAATCTCATTAACATGCGAGGATATTATTGAGTTTCCTAGTGACCTCAAGTTTCCAAACCTCTCGATTCTGAAGCTTATGCATGGGGATGAGTCGTTGAGTTTTCCTCAAGGCTTTTATGAAGAAATGGGAAAGCTTCAAGTTATATCGTATGATCATATGGATTCTCCATTGCTTTTCTCGTCACTTGAATGCTCCACCAACATTCGAGTGCTTCGTCTCCATCAATGCTCATTGACATTTGATTTATCTTCTGTTGGAAACCTGCTGAATCTGGAAGTGCTCAGCTTTGCTAGATCTATTATTAAATCTCTACCTTCAACAATCGGAAATTTGAAGAAGCTAAGGGTACTGGATGTGACAGGTTGTGGTGGTCTTCATATAGATAATGGTGTCTTTAAAAATTGGGTCAGACTTGAAGTGCTTTATGCATACTCGTTTGATCGTTATGGAAATGCCATTAGCTTCACAGGTGATAAGTGCAATGAAGTGGCAGAACGTTGGAAAAATCTTTCTGCATTAGAATTTGAGTTCTTTACAGACAATGCTCAATGGAAGAATCTGTCATTTGAGAATCTTGAACGATTCAAGATTTCAGTTGGACGTTCTTTAGAAGGAGATTATGTTATTAAAGAGAGCAAGCACTCATTCAAAAACACGTTGAAGTTGGTAACCAAGAAAGGTGTACTATTAAAATCTAGAATTAACGAGTTGTTTGAGAAAACGGAGGTGCTTTGTTTAAGTGTGGATGGTATGAATGATCTTGAAGATGTTGGGGTGAAGTCCTCACTTCGTCCTCAGTCCTCTTCATTCCGCAATTTAAGAATCCTTGTTGTTTCAGAATGTGCAGAGTTGAAATACCTTTTCACATTCAGTGTTGCAAAAATTTTGTCAAATCTTGAGCATCTTCAGGTTTCTAATTGCCCTGTTATGAAAGAACTCATACAACTTGAGAGTGGCGTAGAAGATACAATTGAGTTCCCCAAGTTAAAGATTCTATCGTTGAGTAGGCTACCAGAGCTATTGGGTCTATGCCTGAATGTCAACATAATTATTGAGCTACCACAACTCATGGATTTAGAAATTGGAGGTATTCCAAATATCACAAGCATTTATTCCAAGAATAAGCGGGCAACATCTTGCTTGTTAACGGAAAAGGTAAATATGTTTTATCTTAATACATTTCAAACAATAGTTTCAAAAAGGATTTCATTCACATTGTGTTTTATGTTTAATAACAGGTGAAATATATATAAAACATTATTAGTAACTTGATTGTATGGTGTATAGTTTGTAATGGGTATTAATGGATATTGAAAACTTCAATATTTTTTCAGGTTTTGATTCCAAAGTTGGAGAAACTGTGCATTGATTATATGAAGGATCTGAAGGAGATATGGCCTTGCGACTATCGGACGAGTGGGGCAGTTAAGTTGAGAGAGATTCAAGTGGAACATTGTAATAATCTTGTGAATATGTTTCCGTGCAATCCCATGCCAATGTTGTGTCATCTGGAAGAACTTGAAGTCAGACATTGTAGGTCCATTGAAGATTTATTCAAAATTGACTTGGATTGCATTGCAGCAGATGAAAAAGGAAGCATCAGCTTGAAAAAGATTAAGTTGTTCAGTTGTGATAAACTTGTGAATTTGTTTCCTTGGAATTTCATGCCATTCTTGCATCATCTGGAAGAGCTTGAGGTAAGGGATTGTGGTTCCATTGAAGAGTTATTCAATATTCACTTGGATTGTGTTGCTGCATTTGAAAAATGCAGCATCAGCTTGAAAAAGATTTGTGTGGACGGTTGTGATAAACTTGTGAATCTTTTTCCATGCAATTCCATGGAATTCTTGCATCATCTGGAAGAGCTTGACATCATGGGTTGTGGTTCACTTGAAGATTTATTCAATATTCAGTTGGATTGTGTTGCTGCATTTGAAAAAGGCAGCATCAGCTTGAAAAGGATTTTCGTGTCCCGTTGTGATAAACTTGTGAATCTGTTTCCATGCAATCCGCTACCATTGCTGCATCGTCTGGAAGAGCTTGTGGTTTGGAAATGTGGTTCCATTGAAGAGTTATTCAACATTGGCTTGGATTGTGTTGCTGCAATTGAAAAAGGCAGCATCAGCTTGAGAAGGATTGATGTGTCTAGCTGTGATAAACTTGTGGATTTGTTTCCGTGCAATCCCCTGCAATTGCTACAACATCTTGAAGAGCTTCAAGTACAGAAATGTCGTTCCATTGAAGCGTTATTCAACATCGACTTGGATTGTGTTGGTGAAACTGGAGAAGGCGGCACCAGCAGCTTGAGAAGCATTGAAGTAAGGAAATTAGGAAAGTTACAAGAGGTGTGGAGGATAAAAGGTGCAAATCACTCTCGTATCCCTATCCGTGGCTTTCAAGCTGTTGAAAGCATAAGAATTAAAAATTGTAATAGGTTTAGAAATATATTCTCACCCTCCGCCTCCAATTTTGATCTCGGGGCACTCACCTCTATGGATATAATTGAATCGGGAGAAATTAGGAGAAAATATGGATCGGTGGAAAGTAGCCAAGGGCAAGAGGTATTGTTTAATGCATTTATGTTTGTATTTAATGAACTAACATTGCTTATCAAAACAAATTACCAACTACGTACCCAAATTTTGTTTGTTTGGTAGGAACCTATTGCACCTTTTCATGATTTATTATTCAAGCAACCTTTTCCAAAAAAAAAAAAAAAAGAGTTTTGACTATCTTTCTGTGATTGCTTTGACCTTTCCATGTCATAATTTTGTCACAATTAAAAAACAAAAAGTTCACTATTTTAAGGACAAAAACCGTAATGTTCTTAATTTGTTGACTATTTGCATCGTTTCCAAATATTCCTTGAAAGAATACTTAAAACTAAAATAATCCTTCTCAAATCAATTTTTTTAAGACAAGGAATTGTGAAAGGATGTGCATTCATCAAATCATAAAGGTAATTCGAAATTAGCTTAACTATTAAAGTTCGTAATTACATTTCTTGTTTGTGCAGAATACTCTATTCCCAACCAATCACATACACTCATTTCATTATCTCCGTAATCTTGAGTTGGTGGAATATCAAGGAGTGGAGGTGATATTTGAGATGAAGAGTACTCCAACAAGTCAGGATAATCAACAGCGAATACTTCCCTACCTTGAGAATTTGGATATAAGATCTTTGGGGAGGATGAGTCACGTGTGGAAGTGCAACTGGAACAAGTTCTTAATTCTTCACAGAAAACCGTCAGAATCCCCATTCCACAACCTCACAATCATAGAAATGAAAAGTTGTCGTAGAATCAAGTACTTGTTTTCACCTCTCATGGCAAAACTTCTTTCCAACCTAAAGAAAGTCGAGATAGAAGGTTGTGCTGGTATGGAAGAAGTTGTTTCAAACAGAGACGATGAAGAAGAAGAAGAAAGAATAACATCTACATCTACCCACATAACAAGCACCACTCTATTCCCTCTTCTTGATTCTCTCATTTTAGAAAGCCTGCAAAATCTCAAGTGTATTGGTGGTGGTGGTGGTGCCAAGGCTGGGAACAATGAAATATCTTTCAGCAGTACCACTACAACTACCTCCTTTCTTGATCAATATAAGGTATGTTTTCAACACGTTCAGCTACCTATTTAATTTCTTTTTTAAAATCCATTTTTTCTTTGGAATAAATCATATTCTATAAAAGTTCAACAAACCCTATGCCTAGAAGATATTGAAGAAGTTAGTGCATGAAATTGACTCATTAGCGGCTATAGAAACCCAACGATGAGATTAGAAGGCATAAAAGTGCCATTGATTTGAACATACAAGAGATTGAAATTTTTACTTCTTGTAATCGGATTCTGAGTTATTCATGTATGTGTATATGTATTTCCAACAATATGAAAGTCAGATTTCTATCAAGTAACCCATCATGTGAATAAATTTCTTCATATTAATTTATGGGTTCAATTAGTTTTGTTTTACTCTATGCTTGATATTCAACATCAACAGCTAATAATAAATATTAGCCCTCCTATTATATATCTTACACAAATACATTATATCTCAGCATTAATCAAGCTGATACAAAATCATTGGCCAGGTCGTTCCTCATTTCAAATAAAATATATGACAATTTTAAGCTTTTTGGTCTAGTCATATGCTCTCTTAAGCTGGTTAATCGTGCATTCCAAAATTTTAGTCCCACATTAAAACACTTTTGGATTACAACTTCCTGAGATACATTGTTTCTGAAGCAGTTTTATGATGTGGACAACATTGTGTCATTTATTACAAAAAAACAAATTTTAATTAAATTTATTATACAAAGTGGTGCCTTGTGGGTAACAAACAGTTAAGCTTTATAGAATATACAACATAAAATATATTTTTGTCATGTACTGCAGTTTTCTCAAGTGGATGGTGTTTCTTGGACCTTATGCCAATACCCTAGAGAGATAAGTATATGGAAGTGTCATGCATTGTTAAATGTGATTCCATGGCATGCAGCAGGACAGATACAAAAGCTTCAAGTGCTGAAAATATACTCTTGCGACAAGATGAAGGAGGTGTTTGAAACTCAAGGGATGAACAAAAGCGTTATTACCCTGAAACTTCCCAACCTAAAGAAATTGGAAATTACTTATTGTGACCTTTTGGAGCATATATTCACATCTTCCACACTTGAAAGTCTCGTGCAACTTGAAGAGTTATGTATAACAAATTGCGATGCAATGAAAGAGATTGTGGTGAAGGAAGAAGATGATGAAGTAGAGAAAACAACAACAAAGACATCTTTTTCTAAGGCCGTGGCCTTTCCTTGTCTAAAAACTATTAAACTAGAGCACCTACCGGAGCTGGTGGGTTTCTTTTTAGGGATCAACAAAAGTGTTATTATGCTTGAACTGGGCAACCTAAAGAAACTGGAAATTACTTATTGTGGCCTTTTGGAACATATATTTACATTTTCTACACTTGAAAGCCTCGTACAACTTGAAAAATTAATGATAAAAAATTGCAAGGCAATGAAAGTGATTGTGGTGAAGGAAGAAGATGATGGAGTAGAGAAAACAACAACAAATGGATCTTCTTCTAAGGCTATGGTGAAGTTTCCTCGTCTAAAGTCCATTACACTACTTAATCTACGAGAGCTGGTGGGTTTCTTTTTAGGGACGAACGAGTTCCAGTGGCCTTCATTAGACGAGCTTGGAATCTTTAATTGCCCAGAGATGAAGGTGTTCACATCTGGTGGGTCGACAGCTCCACAGCTCAAGTATGTGCAAACATGGACTGGAAAATATAGTCCTCCTGGAAGTTGGTTTAATTCACATGTGACAACCACTAATACTGGACAGCAGCATCAGGAGGTATAGCTTTTTTTATTCCCATTTTTTTTTTTTGCATTTATGATCTGATTAAGAAATCATGATGCCCAGTAAAAACATAATTAAATAAAAGATTGATACTAGTTTCTGTAAAAGTGACCCAGCTGAAACTTGTTTTAGTTGGATTGGAGTTGATTGCCTTATATAATATTTCCTCTTTTTTTTTTTTTTTTTTTTTTTTTTTTTTTTGGCCTTGCAGACCCCATGCCCGAATTTAGAAAGTAGAAGCTCCTCATGCCCTGCCGCGTCTACTTCAGAAGACGAGATCAACATTTGGTCTTTTCATAATATGATCGAATTAGATGTGGCATATAATCATCATGTTGAAAAGATTATTCCATCCAACGAGTTGCTACAACTGCAAAAGCTGGAAAAGATTCAGGTAAGGGACTGTAATTCTGCAGAGGAGGTGTTTGAAGCGTTGGAAGGGACAAATAATAGTGGTTTTGATGAATCACAAACAACTCTTGTCCAACTTCCAAACCTAACCCAAGTGGAGTTAGATAAGCTACCTTGTCTGAGGTATATATGGAAGAGCAATCGGTGTACGGTGTTTGAGTTTCCAACCCTAACAAGAGTCTCTATTGAGAGATGTGATAGGTTAGAACATGTTTTTAGTAGTTCCATGGTTGGTAGCCTGTTGCAACTCCAAGAGCTACATATCATTAAGTGCAAACACATGGGGGAGGTATTTGTTGTAGAAGAAGAAGAGGAGGAATCTGATGGCAAAATGAATGAGATTGTGTTCCCTCGTCTCAAGTCCTTAAAACTCGATGGACTTGAATGTCTCAAGGGGTTTTGCATTGGGAAGGCGGATTTTTCATTCCCATTATTGGATACTTTGACTATCAAGAGATGCCCAACAATGATGACTTTCACCATGGGAAATTCCTCTACCCCACAGCTAAAACAGACCAAAACAGGTTATGGCCCGTCTTATGTAGAGGAAGACATCAACTCCTTTATAAATATGAATCAAGAGGTACATATTCTTAAACTATATCTGAAAACATGTCATGGACCATTTTTTGTTATACATTGTCAGAGCCCCAACCATATTTTCTAAATTTTCACCTTTATATTTATTATATGTTTTATGCAGGGATTCAACAGAAACAGATATCATTTTGATTATTCGTCTGATGAAGCGGGAGACCAGGATTTTTAATGTCAACATTATATCAAAGGTAATTTCTATTTTTGTCATCCTAGCTTGTTGCCATTATATAACCTTATTTTTCTGTGCATTAATGGTCTTTCATTCATGTTTTCTAGATTATGGTGATGTGAAATCTTGCATTGGATTACAACTTAAGATTGTGCTTGCTTGTTTTTATGTACAACCTCAAGAATCAAAGGAGATAAGCTTTGAAAACATCCACCATTTGATATTTTCCTTTGAAAACAATGTCCTTGTTTTGGTTCTAGTTAGTACTCACGTCTTTTCCCCCTTGCTTTAGTTGTAATTTCCAAGGACTCAATTGCTTGACAAAAACAAACCACAGGGACAATTTTGTAATTTACTCTTTAAATAAAACTCACCTTGATGTATAGGCTCACACGAAGATCTTTGACATATATTTGCAAAACAACCTCCCATTCCCAACCCAAGCATATAACTGAAATATTTTGGTATGCCCTAATACTTGTCCTGTTCAATTAAATGTGACACCTAAAGTTACTCTTAAACAAATCTCTGTTCACCCGTGCGCAAATCCTTCCAACTTATCAACCTAGCTGACATAAGAATTAAAACAAGACTATACTATTGGTTAAAATCTTACTGTTGGTCCATAACTTCTCAGAGAAAGTTTTATCTAATATGTTTCTGTAGAGTGTAGATTGTAGTAATTGATATGCTAAGTTGACAATTCACGCTATCGTTAACTAAAATCGAGTCGAATAAAATAACAACACATGAGACGTACCTTGTTCTTAATTTTCTTTTGCTTGTTCCTGCCCAGACCATGTTTCTTCAAAATTAACTAATTAGATTGTGATTTCGGATTCTGCATCTTCCACTTTTAACAATACTTGATTGAATTGCACTTCGATCTTCATATATTCTGTCGTCGGTTGATTGTTTTTCTTCGTTCTTACTCTCACTAACCGCCTAAATCAATAACACAACATGTTTTTAATATTTAGACAAAATTGCTAAAATGGTCCCTGTGTTTGTCAAGTTTCTGTAGTTTTGGTCCAAAAAAGTTTAGTGGTGCATCAGTAATCCAATTTCTGATACTTTGTGTGGTTTTGGTCCCTATGGTTGACATTTATATGTAGTTTTAGTCCATACTCCACCTGAAATGACAAATCTGCCCTTAATAATTTTCTTTTTAATTTCATTTAATTTATTTTCTAATTATTCTAATTAAAAAAAAAGAAAAAAGAAAAAAACCCCAAACCACCCCTCTTATCCCTTCCGTTTGGGGCTTCTCTCTCTCTCTCTCTCTCTCTCTCTCTCTCTCTCCTCTCTCTCTCTCTCTCTCTTATGCTATTCTGTTCTTCATCCCAATGACCTATATCTTGTTAGTACATAAATGTGAATGGAAGTTTTACCAATTTTGGATTTGGAATCTGTTTACGAACCGGAAGCAACCCCTTTTTATCCATATTCAAATCTCCACAGAACCCACCACCCGTCATCATCAATCTTTCTCAAACCCTAACCGTAGGAATGACGTGTAACATCCCAAAATTTAAGACTAAAAATTTCGTTTTTAAATAAGTTGTCATGAAAACCAACAATATAAAAACATGCATAAAAACATCCCATGTCAAAACCAAAGTGTCAATAATCAAAACATGTTATCATAAAACAATATCAGAGTGTAATCCCAAAGATCTCATGTGCGAAAAACATAGTGTGATGCGCTGCGATGGAGCCGACTCCATTCCTTTGAAAACGAAGTACGTGAAATCAAAACTGAAAACCGTAAGCACGAAGCTTAGTGAGTTCCCCCATCATACCAAATACCATATACACATAATGCCTATCCCTCGGTATCTTTCAACCGGTATCTGTCTGGCATAACTGGAAGCTGGACTCCCCTTTGGTATCTTTCAACCGGTAACCGAGAGCTGACCTCCCCTTCAATATCTTTCAACCGGTAGCCGGGAGTTAACCTCCCATTCGGTATCTTTCAACCGGTAACCGGGAGCTGGCCTCCCCCTCGGTATCTTTCAACCGGTAACCGGGGACTATTTCACCCCTACCACTACCACATAATAACATAACATAAACATACTGCTAGGCATGCATGGGTTCTGACGACCCCTTCGGTATCTTTCAACCGGTATCCGGGGACTATTTCACCCCTACTACTACTAACATATATAACAGAGCATCCTAGCACACAAATATAACAGATAGTGGCATACCAGATAATTATCACAAAGACAATCATCTAACAAACAACTCCTACTAGTAGGCCGACATTGTGGCCTTAGACCCACTTCTACTGGAAGGTAACTCACTTCGCACTGCTGAAGTTCCGCATACAAAACTCTAGCTGCTGGATGACAGATTCCCGAATTGTCAACATCAAAATAACACCCAATTAATAATTGGGTTCCAACAAAAATCCATAAGTCCATGCCTGGGGTAAAAGACTACTCTACCCCCAACTTAGCTTGATTCAAGCCCAATGCCCAATCCAAAGGCCTAAAAGTCAACTATGAGTCAAAGCCCAACATATGGCCCAATTTTCCAAATTGCGCCCAAACCTTTACATGTTCTTACCCTAAGGCCCAACCATTTACTCTAGTCCAAACATTTGTTCCAATGGTCCAATATCTCATAATCATAAAGGCCCAATTATGACCAACCTATGGCCTAATTTTCCAAATTGGGCCCAAACCCTCACATGGACCTTATCCTAAAGCCCATCCATATATTCTTAGTCCATATGATTGTTCTTGAATGGCCCTTCAATAGCCCAATCACCAAAGCCCAATAGAAAGGCCCAACTTAAGGTCCAAGTAAAATTAGGATTTTCTCATAAATTGACGATTAGGGTTAAGTGTTTCATACTTAGCCCATTAAGGACTTAAAATATTAAGTCCATCAATCTATTGGGTCAATCATATAGTGTGGTCGGCTTAATACAAAATCCCAATCCGGTCATCCAAAATGCGGGTCCCAACACTCCGAAACCCATATATCCAAAATTAGGGTTTTCTAAACCCTAATTAGGGTTTCCAACCCAATCACAACCCAATAGGCATAAAAGCTAAGTCTTTAGATCAATTAGGGTTTCATTAGTTAGCTAGGGTTAGACAAGTCGGGCACCACCCACTACCACCTTAGGTAGTGGTGATCAACAACGACTCGCGGGGGCGGCCACCACCTCACGGTGGTGGTTATGGTTCTAGTCCAATTATATCCAAACATCCAAAAGCAAGCTAAACATAAGCAAATGCACACCGCCACCCAACACGGCGGCTGGTGGCGGCAACCACCACCTCATGGTGGTGGTTATGAGTTTTCTTTGATTATTCCGACACCGATTACAACATACAACACCAAAATCCCAAATAAACACACACTCATACTAAGATAAAAACACACACACACAACCACCCTTATGGTGGCCGACGGTGGTACATGGTGGCAGCCACCACCTCACGGTGGTGGTCGTGGCCTTTTCTCGGTTTTCCTGCCAAACGAAACCACACACAACACACACTACAACAGAAAACACACCCACACACGCTTCTGTTTGCAAAGCACCCAACCACCCACCTGGCGGCGTACGGCGGCGGCAACGACACAGAAAGGCAACAGTAGTGGTGTTGACAGCGGCAACCACCATGGTCAGCCGCCATGGTGGTTCTTTCCGGTCACCGGCATGAACACAGGATGTAACCGAAACACGCACCCATTTCCTCCTCTTCGGGGTGACAGCCGCAACCGGAGCACCGCAAACAGGTGGCCGCTTGGAGCCACGGTGGCGACGGAACACGAGAAGGGTAGCAACAGAAAAAGAAACGGGGAAGGAAATGGGAGAAGTTCGTTTTCTCTAACCACGACGGTAGCAGCGACAACCAAGCTTTGTCGCCGTCATCGGCAATGGAACAACAGTAGCGGTGGCGCCATCGGCCGGAGATAGCGGCGGCAGTACTCGACTGGTGGTTCCCGGTCTTCCTAACTCGTACGTCGTGGACCAATGGTGGTTGCCTTCGCCGGCAGCGGGAGCAACATCAAAAGACGATTTCGCTGGCAACAATGGTTCGCCGGTGGCTTGGTTGGTCGGAGAAGCAAGAGAGTAGGGTGTCGGCCAGTGGTGGGAGACATAAGGGTGGAGGTGGCGGCTGATATGGCTCCTAGGGTTAGGGTTTGTTACAATATATATGAAGGCAACTAGGAGGATGACGGGTTATGCCCGTAAATTTCAAATCTTGACTCATTTTTACACTTCCAGCCCTCCCCATAAGAATCTTTTCAAATTAGCTCCAATATTTACCATTTAAACCCTGCCTTCTGAAATCCCTTACAAATTAAGTCTGAAATTTTACCAAGCAGCCCCTCCCTCTACAACTTATTTTCAACTGAAGTCCTTATGTTACCAAATGGCCCCTCCTCTACAAAACCTTTTCAACTTAGGTCCATAATTTACTCTTTAGCCCCTGCTTCCATAAATCCTTTCATATTAAGTCTAATACTTACCAAATACCCCCTATCTTCTAAAAATCATTACAAAATAAATCCCGGAACTACACTTTAACCCCCGAATAATCCAAATTATAACATTTGGCTCCCCAAAACCAACACCCTACTAGATATTATGGATTTTAGGGCTACTATTCATATAAATTTTATCTAATTATTTATTTAATAAACGGGGTGTTACATGACGGCTCTCTCTGCTCCTGATAATCGAAGACCCACATGCCTCTCTCTGCCCCCTGCTTGTGGAAAAACTCCTACCCCTAGCAAACTCCGGTGAAGATGGCTTGCGACCCAGATGTAAATTCAAGCCACGTTGCCTACTTACCACCACCCCTTCGTCTTCTCCGGTAGCTCCATATGTGCGTTTCCAGATCTGCAAACGAGAGCGACATACCTGATCTGTTCTTTAAACCTATCGATCTATAGATTTAAACCCGAGGAAGAAGAGAGAGGTGATAAAACCCTTCAAACTGAATTCGTCTTTTTTAAACCATTGATCGTCTGGTGTTTTAGGTCTTCTGGGAGGGAGAGGCAGTTGGAAAACATCCGATGAATGATGGTTTGGTTGTCGGTGGTGAAGAATCATCTCGTTAAGGAAGAAAAGTTGAGGGTGTGGGGAGATTGTAACGCCCATATCCCAGGTATGCATTTAAATATTTATCTACTCATTTTTTTGCAAGGCAACTCGACGAGTTGGTAGCTCCAAACTCGTCGAGTAGAGATTAAGAGGGACGTGGGTTTTGATGTCTACTCGCCGAGTTAGGAATCCCCGACTCGACGAGTAGGACTTCCAGACTGAAACCCAAATTTTAAGGGTTTGGCCCCCCTATTTAAAGAACATAACACCCCTTGTGGCC